CCAGCTAAATCAGTATGTACAAGTTGGAATGGATAAATTGCCCTTGTGTCAGGTTGTTCTTTACAAGTGTTAACATTTTTAGATAGAATACGTGTTTTACAATCAAATTTAGCAATATTGTTTATTTTTATTCCTTAAGCTATACCTTCTAATTTTATAATATCATTGCTATTACAATGTCCCATTATTTTGTGCCATATTTATAAACTTTCAGTTCGTATTTTATTTATCAAATTTTATACAAATAATACAAACGACCATATTGTCGGAGAGGAAACACAGTTCCCTTTTTAGATATAAGTTCAACACTATATTTATGAAAATTTACACTGGCACCTTTAACCGTAGCTGCTTGAACTGAAAAAATGCACTGTGGGTAAGATGGTATGTATAAACTGTTTTCAAGAGTGGCAGTTACAAGTTCATTGTTCTTTGTACGTAAATGGGTTACAACTGTCCCTCTTTTTATTTCTATAATGTCTGTCCTGGTGCCATCAGCTAATTCTATAAAATGTTCATCAGGTTTAAAGTATTTAATATCAATATAAGTGAAATGTTCATCAAAATTTACAATAAGGGTGGTTGCTCCACATTCTACGAGAAATGTTTCGTTTTGCGTTTTCTTATATTATGAGTTGTTCTTGTGCATTCTGTTTCTTTAAAACTTCGTAAAACCTGCTTAAATTTTTGAAATTTATTACTAGTTTCAGATTAGGTATTTATTCCTACAAAAACTCTATACTCGTCAGGTAATCCTTTAAGAACAAAAGCAATAAGTAATGAAATGCTTATATTTTTGTCAGCTGTATCTAATGAAGTGGCTGATTTCTCTGCTCTAATAACATAATCTGTTATAGACTCGTTGGTAATTTTTTTAAACTTGTTAATTGGTTATATAAGGTAATAATGCGAGGTTTACTTGTGCTAGCGTAAAAATTCTTTAGAATTTTAAACGATTTTCATGCCTGCATTTAGAAATCAATTCAGATTTTTTATTCAGTAAATTTTCTTGCATCAACTACATTATATTATTATAAAATCATAAAAAAAATTCTTCAGAATCAGGATCATTTTAGACACGTCATTTTTTTTTTATAATTTTTTAAAAGGAACTTACTTTCATGCCTGCATTAAGAAATTAATTCAGATTTTTTATTCAGTAAATTTTCTTGATACAAATGAGTAATAATATCAAATTTTTCTTGTAAACATAATATACATTTTTTTGAAACAATATTATAGGCAGGAGCAATTTTTGGAATAGACCAGTTTATTTTAAAATTATTATTTTTTTCTTTTAGTACCCAAATATATTTTGACACCATAATGTCTTTTGCGTATTTTTTATTTTTAAAAGATTGTTTGTGATTGGCATAACGTTTTTTCAATTTGTTCTCAGTTTATTCCAGTTGCGCTCAGCCAATATCTTGTTTGTCAGAGTTGTTCCTAATTTTACATGTCTTAAATACAAAACGAACTATACTACAGCAAACAGGTCAGGAGTCTGGAGTCAAAGTATGCTATGATTTGAGCAATCAGCTGACAGGTGACAGCACACAGGTAGAACTTCGTTGACAAGTGCAAATTTGCAGCGGACAAAACAAGTGCAACTTTTTTGTTTGATTTATTTTCTTCTAGTTCATGTTAACGTCAAGAAGGTTTTTTTATAATTAAAGGAAGTATCCAGAAGTTTTCAGAAGCATGTAGAAGCTACCAGAAGTTTCCAGAAGAAGCATCTGGAAGCATCCAGAAACATCCAGAAGTATCCAGAAACATTCAGAAGCATCCAGACGCATCCAGAAGCTAAGAAAAAAAATTATTAGCGATTACGTTAGTGGAAATTTACAAAAAGTATTTGTGATAAATATCGCATGAAAACTGGACCGTATCATGACTATTTTCCAAATATCGTTCTTCGGGGAAGTTGGCAGCAGATAACAACGGTGGAAGAACGCGTTCCACCACTTCTAGAGAGGATTCTATGATTGTCAGATCCGTCAAGAAGAATCCTTGGATATCATCACTCAAGATACAGAAGCAATTAGAGCTGCCTGTACAGGACCTAACCATCCGACGACATGCTGTGAAGCCGGATTATTTTCTCGACGCCCTGCAATGAAACCGCTGATTTCACTAAATAATCAGAAGAAAAGACTTCCGTTTTCTACATCTCATATTGACTGAAATATGCAGAAACGGCAAACTGTTCTGCTCAGTGATGATTCGAAGTTCAACAACATTGGGAAAAATGGGGTTTGCCGTGTACGTCGACCGGCCTGAAAACGCCTCGATTTTCGTTACTGACATACGACCGTGAAGCATGATGGAAGTAATGTAATGGTCTAGAGGTGTTTTTCTGCTAACGGTCTAGGTCCAATACATCGATTCGATGGAATAATGGACCGTTTCATGTATAAAAATATCCTGAAAGATGTTATGTTACCTCATGCTAATTGGCATATGCCAATAAAATGGGTTTTTCAGCAAGATAACGATTCAAAACACACTGCAAAAGTAGTCAAGACAACCACCTATCGGTGATGAATTGGCCGCCTCAATCTCCGAATCTCAACACTATTGAGAACATGTTGGAGATCGTCAACCACAGAATAGTTCGTCAAGTTGATCGTAATAAGAATCAACTGTTTTAACAAATCCAAAAAGCTTGGGCAGCGAATCTAAAAAGTTTCATTGAACACCTGGTCGAACTTATGCCTCAACGATGCAAGGCTGTGATCGAAAACAAATGATTCGCCACGAAATTTTGATAGCAAAATACATTTTGGTCAACATTTTGTGGAGTTGCATTTGTTTTGTCCAGAAGGAATTTAACTTTTTTTTATATCTTTTTAACTATAAATATATATATATATATATATATATATATATATATATATATATATATATATATATATATATATATATATATATATATATATATATATATATAAATATATATATATATATATATATATATATATATATATATATATATATATATATATATATATATATATATATATATATATATATATATATATATATATATATATATATATATATTACGATATGTTCTTTATTCACTATATGTATTTTTAAATATTATATCTTCTTTATTGACTTTACTTATAATTGATTTACTTTTAATTTTAATTCTTTGAGCCCCTGACTGTTTATTACTTGTACATTTGTAAATATATTTTATTTTTGGTGAAAGGAAATTGTAATTTATATAAACAGCAAAATAAAATAATTAGTTAATTAGGATGTTCAAAGTAAGACTTATGAATGTCTATATTACGCCTAATTATGGATGTCCTAATAATGTCCTAATGTAGACGACATTTAGACGTCCTAATAAAAACGTCTCCACCAGACGTTTTTAAGACGTTTAAACTTAGTTTGAGACAAAGCAATCTAACTAAGACGTCCAGTTGTTTTAATTATGGTATTCACGAGTGATTCGATAATTACAACTATAAATTTTTTATGGGTTTCAGGCTTTTATAGAAAACGTCGGTTGTGATATATATGTTATTTTTTAAGATAACAGATATATCTAGAAAAATACATATGTTACGATATTTTCTTTTTATATAAGTGCAATGTCATAGTCAATTATAAAGCTGATTGAATCATTTATTTCTGCATCTGATGTTTTGAATTTGTTTATATCGAAATGTTTTGAACGTATATTGAAACCATTGCCAATATATATAAAATAAAACTGTTCAAAATTTTGCACTGCTTAATTCAAGAAATATCTATTTAAGATTTTTTGGCATTGAAAATTGTTGTTCTAAGTATCCAATTTAAAATCATGCATTATCTTCTGAGAAATCTGTTTCCATGACTGTGCCTGTAACTTGGTGAAATAATTGATCATTGAGTAAAAAAATTGTTTTGCAAAATAAAGGATGCTGATTTAATGATAAAGCTATTTGTAAGTTGTTAGGGTATAAAACCTTTATGTTTTTTAATCCAGAATTTTATAGCGTCTAATACTAGATTGTATAAAATGGTAGTGTAAAAATGTCACATGGAAATATAATACTATCTATTCTGTTTTTCATGGAGTTTTTCTTGAAAAGTTCTAAGAAAAATAGATGTAGTTAAAGCCTTTTATTTTATATTTGTATAAAAATCTTATGTTTTTAAAATTTATTTAACAATTTTGCCTAAAATCTAACTATTCAAAAAATGCAAGTTTAAAGATTTCTATTAAATAATATAATGAGCAGCATTCAAATGTTAAAGTTCCTCATAAGCAAACCAAAGACTAAAAATATGTAAGGATGCTAAACATTCGCAAAGAATATTTTTAGTTTTTGAATGTGTTTCATTTTTACAAATATTTTAAGGTAACTTTAAAGATTATTACCACACATTTTGATTTTTTCTGCGTTATTACTTTGTTAAAATAATTGAGACAGCAAGAATGAAAGTGTGATGGTTATCACATATTTTTATCATAAATTTTTAAAAGTTATTTTAGTTTAAAACTCTGTCAAATAAAATCTAAAGAAAAAACTAAATGAATGTCTAAATTAAAAATTAAAATGAAAAAAATGAAATGAACGTCTAAATATGAAAAATATAATTAAATGTCTTATTTGAAAACAAAATGAAAAACGAAATGAATGAAATTGAAAAATAAAATGAAATTCTAAATTTGAAAATTAAAATGAAAAAAAAAAACAGAATTGGCAAATATTATATTATTATATTGTTTTTTTGATTTGTAGGATATAAAAGTTGCAATAAAGTTTTTATAAGAAACATAAAGAAAAAAAAAAGTTTTTATTATCTTAAGGAAAAAACTGAGGTCATTTTTCTTTCATCGCTGCTGATCGACAACTAGTTTCCACAAAGTACGCTCAAAAAAAAACATGATAAAAAAATAAAAGCACTGAAAAAAAATAAAACCACTGATATACATAAACGTATCTAAATCAAAAATATTACAAAATGAAAAAGTCTTTTTCTTTATTTCAACTTACTTGTTAATTGTAGTAAATAACCTGAGAGTTTAGCATTTTTTAATTTTTTCAAGTAATATAGCATGCTTAATCCAAAAGCAAGAACGTATATTAAAACACCCAAAGTCATTAACACTCCAACAAACAAAGAAACTGTAAAAAAAACATTTATAAATAAAAAAAAAACATTTCTAAATTTCTAATTTCTAAATAAATAATTAAACAAAAACTATGTTTAACCTTTAGAATAAAACTTTTATTTAATACAAATAAAATGTGTTAAATAAAAAACAAAAAACAAGTAATAATAAAAAAAAAAGTTGGAAAAAGATTAATAGTTATTTTTTTATGACTATTTTTTAACAAACATGTTTCATTAAATAATCAAATATCAAACGCAATAGGTATATAACTTTAAGATAAAACCGACAACTCTAACTTCTAGTGAGTAATTTATAGTGCTATTTTTAGTTTGTTAACAACAATATAAATATTTATACTTTATTATATTCAAATAGCTTCCAATAACCCTAAAGAACATTTTCTTAATAAAGCTTTAAATAATCAACCAAAAAGAGTGTTTATGGGCAGCATATGTCAATGTGAAAAATAAAATATAAAAAGTTTAGTTTAACACTTTTTTATGGTTTTTTTATAGTTAAATATTGAAATATGTTTTTTATTAGATCCCATGAATCTTACTACTACTATGTTTTGGCTAATACAGCCAATTGCCGAATAAAAACCTGAGTACTTCTACTAAGCTCCAAAATAAAACTTGCTAATACTTTTATAGTAGTATTAGCAGTTATGGAAATACTACTGCAGTAGTGTTAGCATGTATGCTAAAACTGCTATAGTACTAGTTTAGTAGTATTTTAATACTACTAAACTACTTATTATCATAATTATATAGTAGTATTTGCAAGTTTTGTTCGGAACTTAACACCGAAAAAAAAACTGCTAAAACTACTCTAGTAGTATAAGCAGGTACGCTAATACTACTATAGTAGTATAAGCATACTGTTATTGCAGCATTAACAAGTTTTATTCGGAACATAGTAGAATATTTTAGTTTTTTTTGGTAACTAGCTGTATTAATCAGAATAACAACCATTTTATTTGGACTTAGTTGGATTAGTCAGTTAAGGTAAAAACTTACCTAGTGAAAAAAATGGTTTTTACATGGGTACCATAAGGGTTCCTTGGAAGATTCATGGGATTTACGTAGGAAGATTTTTCCCATGTGGTTAACGTACGGAAAATTGTAACATTAAAAGCAAATATGAAATTATCCCAGTCAGCATACATATACTGGTCCGTTGATTGCTAGCTGATGCTAGCGAATTCATTATAGGACCAATAAAGTTCTGATCCTGGATTGCCGATTCTGAGAAACCGTAACAAAGCCATTGCAAAGCTATTATAAAATTGACTTAGCTATGTAGCCGCAAAAAAACCATTAATGGTCCGACGAAGATTTGCCGTAGCAGAACAACAGACTTTGGCCCGATACTTGCCCATCAGTAGTAAAATCCAAATAATATTGATATAAACTGGAGCTATAGCATTTGCCAAAGACCAAAGACCAGTGGTTGTTTGAAAGACTTATTTAAATCTTTTGAAGAACCTGCTTTTTTAAATATATGGTTTGAAAGCTGAAGGTTATAGCTTCAGAATATTTTAAAGATTCACCAGGGACATATCATTTATGTAATAAGTCTGTAGCAACCTTGCCATCTGGCACACTTTTTATATTAAGTTCCTTTAAATCCACTTGCATTATAAATACATTTATCATAAGCTACCTTTTCAATGTTTTTGCTGAGGTGTACATTTACATCTTATTTGTTTGTTTTCATAAACGCTGTCACGCTGATACACCTAACTAAATAAAAAGATTTCTTTTCAAATTGAACATAAACTTTCAAATAAACCCTTTTGACATTAAATTTTGAAATTTTTGGTTTAAAAGCAGCCTTCTGCATTTTATCTTTTGATATAGTTTTGGCCACTATATACCATTGTAAGATTTTTTTAATGTTGGAGGTAAAGCCGTTTTATCCTTTTTCCATTCCTTTTCCTTGGAAGCAAAATTTTTTTTTTCATCAATGTTAAACTCTTCGTTAGATTTTCACAATATACACTTTTTGGCAGTAAAGATTTGATTGCTTTATGCATTTTAAGTTTATAGCAAGCAACTACAACTATTAAACTTACTAAAATTTACTAAAATTACTACTAACTTAAACTTACTAAAATATATTACTGTTTTGTAAATATTTCCTACAATTCATTTTGAAATATATCTATAATGGGAACGGTGACTTATTAAAAAAAAAATATTAAAAAAATTACATAGCTACCCAGCCGGCATTATTACGTTGTTTTAACGTTTAAATTCGGTTGAAGCGTTGTTTCAACGTTGTTCAACTATGTCACAACGTTAAATCAACGTTACCGTTTAAACGTTGATTATTTAACGTTATTTCAACGTTAAATCAACGTTAAGGTTTAAACGTTGATTATTTAACGTTATATCAACGTCATTGTTTCAACCATTGTTGACAAAAAAAATGATTAAAATATATGCGCGCGCGGAAATAGAATTAAAAACGTAAACATTATTTCAACGGTTAAAATTATAGAGATTTATAATGGAAAAAAAATGTAAATACTGAACTTATAACATATAGAATTTTCAAGAGATCAAAAGCATTTTCAGACAATTTTCCTGAAAAAAAGTTACAGTTTAAAAATCAAAATTTTTCGTTTAACTTGGGCTACAATGCTCAAAGACTGATATTAATTGTAAATATAACACAACTTTTTCAAAAAATGATCCATTAAATTATGTTGAATTTAATGCTAAGCGTTGTTTTTTAATAGAGCATTAAGAATTAAAAAAAGAAATTGATAACTTTAAAAAAGAACTTCAGCACGAAATAAAAAAAAAAAAGACTTATATGAAAAATTAAATTCCACCACATCAGTTTTTACTATGAAAACAGACAAATTTGTATATAAACATAATCCAAACAAATCGTGTTATTGCAATTGACTTGTATACAAACATTTAATTTAAAAATAATAAATCTTTCGACTTTTATACTGGCCTTACATCTGTCAATGGGTTTCATCAGTTAGTGCAGTATCACCATTAATCAAAAGAGATAAAGTGATATTAAAAAAAACATTTACTTCTGTTTTTTGAAATTTAAAATAATCCTTAACTACTTGGACCAAAATAAATGTAATGCAGCAAAGATGAATTTTTAATGATGCTAATATTTGGATTATTGACAGCTAATTTTGCTGACAGGTTTAATATATATTTAGGATTATTGAATGCAATATTTTCTTCATTGTTAAAAGCTTCTAGCTCACTTTTAAACCACATGGTTTTTGTTCCAAGTAAAGATGTTATAAGACAGGCAATGCAAAACAGATTTTAGAAAATAAATTATTAAGACTAACACTAAATTTTAGATATAACAGAATTTATTATGGAATCACCTTAAAGTTTTGACTTACAGAAACTAACAGGGAATGAATACAAACATTACAACAATATAAAATCATTAGTACCCGTAGCTCCAAATTTATCAATAATTCCTTTAAAAAATTTCTAAAACTTACAGAAGCTAAATTTCGGTTAAAAAAATTACATATCACAACAATTATTTAAATGGTATTACAAAATACTATTGTATAATGTATGATTAAGGCTTTAATATTAATTTTTTAAAACAAATGAAGTGATTTCAATTAAATCTATTTTTATCACTCACTTTAAAAGTATGATGATTATTTGTATAAAGATAATTAAAATTTCAAATAATAATATTAGCTTTATTTGTTGTTTTTTTTTAGGTGAATCAATTGCAATTGATGAAATATCTTTAAAATGCTGAGGTAATCAAAATAATTTTTAATTAATCAGGAATTTTAAGGATTAAATTATTTAGCAAAAAAATTGTTTGATAATGAGTTTAATTTGAATTAAAAAAAAAATTATATTAGTTCTCGCACAATTAATATCAGTTCTCTTATTTATTAAAATTTAGAATATTTTCCAACAGTTTTGTGACCTCCATGAATATAAAGGGGAAAGGTGGAAATATGCTTTAAGAGCACTAATTTATATAGTGTAGTGAAAGGTATACCTTTATAAGATATGTAAAACTTTTTTATTCTCATTTTTTATATATTCAAAAATTTGTAATTGTGTTTTTTTATTTATTTTTTTTATTCTTTTTTATTAACAGCTTCTTCTATTAAATACAATGGAGCGGCAGAAACTTTAATAATGGAATTTTGACTAATTTCAAAAAATGCGCTTCATTTCGAAAAGGCGGCGGAAAAGAAAATAATTTATATTGATTAATATAAGTTTATATTTATAAAAATCAATCTAAAATTTCTTTATTGAAATATTTACATATATTTCAATAAAGAAATATTTTCTTTTTGTCTGCTAATATTTTTTTTTCAGTGTTAATTCAACATTACAAATTAAAACTCAATTATGAAAAAAGCCTAGAATTGAGTTGATGTTTTAAGTAAAATAAGAAAAGCCCAAAAAGTAACTGATGTAATATTTTTATAGTTTGATAAAAAATTCTAATAATGTTTAAAATTGGTATTAATATTAATGTTTATTAAATGAAGACGAGTAAAAAATAATTAATGTTTATTAGATGAAGATAAGTAAAAAAAAACGTTATAAGGTTTTTTTTGGTCTTGAAAATTGTTTGAATGATAATTTATTATTTATCAAAATATTTTCTTTTTTAATTTTTGTTGTTTTTATATTTTAATCAAAAGTAGATATTATTGTGTCATATATTATAATATACCTTATATTATACTATTATGTATTATATTAATAATGAGTATTTTTGTTTTTTTGTATTTCTAGTTTTTTTCAATATTCCATAATTATCTTATGTAGATGTTTATGTTTTAGCAACCTAGTATTCTTTCATTATTTGTCTTTGTTATTGAGCCTTAAGTTATTTGAACATAATATATTCAGAACTCGGCTGAATAATAGAGTAATAAATAAATTAATAAAAATGAGTTTAAAATAAAATAAATTTATAAAACAAAGAAAATCTTATCTTTGCTTATAATGTCTACTAATATTATTG